AAAAAAACAAAAAAACACACAATTATTCAGCGCTAAACCCTAACCGAACTTCTACCAGCTATTAGGCAAAGGTCTTCTGATTCTGCTACACCTAGATCTGCTTCTTTTCCAGCAAATAATTATCTTGAAATAGTCCAGAGTTTGCTCTTACTTGCTTGCTTCCGCAGGAAGTAAGTATTACCACTATGATGGCATACATTGCAGTGAAAACTGTAGTTGGTCATGAATGGCAGACAGGATCTGTTAAACAAAAAAATTTTACAAATTAGTAAACTTGTCAACACATACTTCCATGAGAGACATAAATCAACAGGAATCCTTTCCCTTCAGAGAGAATTAGATAAAAATACCAATATGTTAACAAACTCTTAAAATGTAAAAAGGTCATCAAAACCACAACAGGCTTGCATTTTTACTATACCAGCATTTTTCTGTTCTCTTTTTTTTTGAGACAGTCTCAAGCTGTCACCCTGGGTAGTGTGCTGTGGCATCACAGCTCACAGCAACCTCAACCTCTTGGGTTCAAGTGATTCTCTTGCCTCAGTTTTTTTATTTTTAGTGGAAAAGGGGTCTTGCTTTTGCTCAGGCTGGTATCAAACTCTTGAGCTCAAGCAATCCACCTGCCTCAGCCTCCTGGAGTACTGGGATTACAGGCATGAGCCACTGTGCAATTTTCTTCTTCATTTTTTTGAGACAAAGTCTCACTGTGTTGCCCTCGGTAGAGTGTCGAGGCATCAAGCTGACAGCAACCTCAAACTCTTGGCTTAAGTGATTCTCTTGCCTCAGCCTCCCAAGTAGCTGGGACTATAGGCACCTGCCAAAATGCCCAGCTATTCTTTGTTGCAGTTGTCATTGTTGTTTAGCTGGCTTGGGCTGGGTTCGAACCCACCAGCTTTGGTGTTATGTGGCTGGTGCTGTAACCACTGTGCTATAGGCACCGAGCCTTTACCAGCATTTTTTTTTTTTTTTTTTTGAGACAAAGCCTCAAGCTTCACCCTGGGTAGAGTGCTGTGGCATCACAGCTCATAGCAACCTCCAACTCCTGGGCTCAAGCGATTCTCCTGCTTCCGCCTCCCTAGTAGCTGGGATTATAGGTGCCTGCTACAATGTCCAGCTATTTTTTGGTTGCAGCTGTAATTGTCATTTGAAGGCCCAGGCTGGATTCGAACCTGCCAGCTCAGGTGTATGTAGCTGTCACCTTAGCCGTTTGAGCCATTGGCATCATTTTTCTATCACAGAAAATTAAGAAAACATTAGCTTCCACTGTGGACAATTTAGCTTCTGGAAAGTTCTCACTGGTACCCTGTCCCAGGTCAGTTTCTTTTTTGAGTACCTAAAAGGTACACCAGACCAGCTGTGGAAGAAAACAAAGTAATCTAAGATATATCTGCCAATAATGTTGGAAAGAGCAGATAAAATGTTTGAAAAAAATGAATTAAAAATGTAAATAGTATCAAAGACAAAGCAGAGTCACAAAACATTACTTGCCTCATAACCAAATAAATCCTCCAGATGATCATTAGTCCCTAAGAGTTCAAAGGACCCAAGTGGAAACTTCAGATTTAGTAGTTAGGAAAGATTTTTTTTTTCCTTGCAGTTTTTGGCTGGGGCTGGGTTGGAACCCACCACCTCCAGCATACGGGGCCAGCGCCCTACTCCTTGAGCCACAGGCGCCGCCTGTGATTTTCAAGAATTCTAATTTGAAGATTTTTCACGAATTCTAATTATGAACTGGATTTACAAAGATGAGTGGGGC